CTATTTGGGATGGAAAGGGGAATATTCTTACATCGAGATTATTAAACGTTCCATAGCTAAAGGATACACCATTCCGAAGAAGGAAGCCGTCAGTGGTCTCCATGTAAACTAGAAAACTTGGTCATTAGTACTTTACGTAAAGCTACAAAATCTGAAACCCAATCAGCAAATTATGACTGAGATTAGGGGAAAAAACAAACACAAAACAGTCGTAATGAAACTGGACATATCTCCAGGTATTATTAAGAAAGCAATTAACAATGACATTTATTGGACAAATTCTCAAAACCAAAAGTTCACAAGCTTTCAGTAATGTTTCGAAATTAACAACTGTTTAGATTTAAAAGATGTCTAAAGAAACTGGAATTATGATAATCTCTTTCAACGACATACCAGTCACGTTTTTTTCCTCGCAATTCTAATGGATTTCTGAATATTTGATTTGCTTATACTTGTTCTTGGAAGCCGACGTCGTCCTGTGGATAACAAAGTGTGTGGTCTAAGACTAACCTCGCCATCTTTTCAAGAAGCTTGTTATAATCAAAATCACGCTGTCAGACGTAAATGTTTATAATTAACTGCCCACGATCATGAACGGAGGAAGTTGCGAGCATAGTACGGTATCTGAAACATTTTTTCTTTTAAAATTCAATAAGTCTGAGAAATGAATTATGTATGTGTCTTTTCGTGCTCACTTTGCGATCTGGGAGCGAGGGTTAATGTTAAACGTGAAAATTTATCTCCCGGCATGCATATTTTTGATGTGTGGTAAAAAAAAAGCATTATACCATGTTTGGTGAAAAAATAGCTATTTTGGGTTGGGAATAACAATAGTTTAGCCCTCCAGTTTAAAGTAATGTGTAGAGATTCTATTCAAAGGTTCGCTTGAAACATATTACATATTAAATGCTGTGATATTGAAAAAAATTATGCCTCCCCATATGGTTGTTTGTTTGTTTGTAATTAAGCACAAAGCTACACAATGGGCTATCTGCGCTCTACCCACCACGGGTATCGAAACCCGGATTCTAGCATTGTAAGTCCGCAGACATACCGCTGTGCCACTGGGAAAATAGGGAGAGATAATGTTATTGCTTGTTTCTCTCTTCTTTCCAACAACTATAACTATGCTCCATTTCTATATTTCTGGGCCGATCGTCTTGAAACTTGAAGAGTATATACCTGGTTACAATTCGTCCGGAAACCTTTTTCACTGTTTTGATTTAAGATCCCAGGGTCAAAGGTCAGTATTAGAAAACATATATTTTGGTCCGCATTTCCCTTTTATTTCTATCAGTTCAAATGAACCTTGACACAAATATACCTCGAAACAGACTTGGCTTTTGTATCTTTCATTTAATTTTACAGGGGTCAAAGGTAAAAAAAAAAATTTGACCTGCATATTTCAACCAACGCAGTTGAGATAAATATATCTTATAAATACTCCAACAGGCTGAAGCAGACAGGTATAAAATTTTTGCCCTTCTTGTGATTTTTCAAGGGTAAAGATAAAAACTTCTTCAAATTTAGGGCCTCAGGACTGCCATTTATTTATATTTTAACCAATCTAGTTCGGCTTGCGCAACTTTGCCTTAAGCCAGTCCCACAGACTGAAATAGACAGGTGAGATATTTGTGTCTTTATTGCGATTTTACAGAGGTTAAAATTTATAGAAATTCTCAAAGTACTTAATATGGAGCTCTGACATTGCGTTCCTATTTAACGTTTCAAGGGATTTTTATTAATAATGTTTTGATTCATACAATGCATTAAATCACATATACCGTATCGAAGAATGGGTCTTATTTGCCCAAAAATTACCTTTAAAGTTTTGTCATTGTGAAAAAAGCTACTTAAACGGAAAACTGCCTGTTTTATGTATTATATTATAACACTTGTGTGTACTCTAATAAATCTTTCCCACAAAGAAGTCTCGATTTGATATTCTGCTAAGTGGACAATTTGTGGGTTAACCGCACTCCCCCTGCCTTGTCTTTCTCGTGCATTGAGCAGTTACGTAAGATAGTGACAAAATAATTCTCCAGTTTCATCACAAGCAAAGCGCCCTCTACTGTTAAGCTAGTATAATTACCCCACATATCTAAGCCTAAAATCATCCTACTATCTTAATTTGTTGTTTATATAAGTTTTGATTTGATAGTGGGAATTGTAAAATAACACCAATGTGCATATTATCCTAAAATTTTAATTTCCAAAGTATGTAAAGAGTAGATTTCAAACAATGAGCTGAACGTCAAATCCATTGATTTTACATCATAATTTTGGTAGAATTTCTTATATTTCTCTGTTGCCTATCTATGCATGAGGTTGAAATATTTTTGGCTTTGTTAACTAGGTACCTGCAACTGGTGAACAAGTCTGGTTTAATGGGTTTAAGATACATTTTTTAATTTATATACCAATGTTCTTGTTTGGGCGCATTTGCTTTTGTGATAACGTTAACAATTACTCAACGGATAAATATCATGTGATCTGCTAATACTTTTTTCGTCAAAGTTTGTTTTTACTTTTATTAATTTGTTAGACTTTATACAACTATTTCAACTGCTCTCTTTTGTAGAGTCATAGTGCTTGCATCCTGAAATGAGCTTCCATTAATAACTTTGAGTAATAAAAAATAGAGAAGAAACATAAATCTTTATATAATACTCATCTTACCTTTCAAAGATAGATGGCGCTATAGGCAAGTTAGCAAAAGTTTTAGGAACAGGCATTTTTTTAATACACACGGTGTGTACTGTTCACTTGTTGCTTCCCTTCTAGTTTATCAATTCAAAATCAGGGACAGATAGAGAAGTTGGTTTCTATCTTTTTATGCGAATTTTTTGTCTTCTTCTTCCTGCCCTTTTATTAGATTTATATCGCTTTTTTTCTTGATCTCCCCCCAGTAGCATAGCGGTATGGCTGCGGACTTATAATGCCCTTTGTGTAGCTTTATGCTTAACTACAAACAAACAATTCTTCCTGATCTTCTTTTAATTTGTTGTAAAATTCTTCTTGACCTATTTAAAATTTGTTATATCTTTCTTCTTGCTTTTTTCTGTTTATTTCTTCTTATTCCCATTATTTTTTATGTTTAGTAGATTTCCTGTCTCAATTTTTGCTCTTTTGGCCATCACCTTCAACAGCTGGAGTTTAGTCAAATTTCTATTTTACGTTTACTAAATAATCTCACTCCTGACACCAAGTGTTGTAACTTCTTTTTTTTTTGCGAGTTCTTTTAATTATCAGGTGAAAATAATTCAACGTCCATTCTGGTAACAGTCACAAATTGAATCATTTCCTCCTTTAAAGTTACTGCAGGCTTTATCACTGTTGTAACTTGTAGGTCTAAGTTTACAGCCACGTTAACTGTTCTATATAACGTAAACGAAAATTAACTTACGTGCACTAAGTAGCGCAGTAGCAGACACTGACTTCACTGACCATTTATATAATTAAAACTTGTTCTAGATAGTTCTAGGACTATTTGAACTCAATTTCACATTACACCATCAAAAAGTCGCAGCTTTCTTTTAGCTAATAAACAAATTACAACATTAAAAATATAGTTTACAACAATATTTTGAATCAACAGTTCGGTATCTTATTTATTCGCGTTGAAATTCTAAACAAACGAAACCCCTCGATGGACACAGCCGATAGCCCGCTGTGGCTTTGTTATAGCAAAAACACACACAATCTGTTTCAAACATATCTGCACAGTAGTTATTTCCTTTTATTTATTCTTTAGTTAATGTGTTGTCTTTACTTATAAAAATATAGCTTATCTTTGATACAATTATATATTAAACTTTGTTAGAGATCCTTGAAAACTTGGAATTTTTACGCTTTAATAAAAGTGTTAATTTACAAAAACAAAGTTACACGAGGGCTAGCTGCGCTAGCCGTCCCTAATTTATCAGTGAAAGACTAGAGGGAAGGCAGCTAGTCATCACCACTCACCGCCAACTCTTGGGCTACTCTTTTACCAACAAATATTGGGATTGACCGTCACATAATAACACCCCCACAACTGAAAAGGCAAGCATGTCTGGTGAGACGGGAATTCTAACCCGCGACTATCAGATTGCGAGTCAACCACCGAGGTGAATTGAACCCCTGATTGCAGCATCACAAATACGAAGACTACCACTGTCTCACTGGAGGACCTTGAAACAGACTTTCTGTGTATTAAGTATGTTAAAAGTCCGATAGTATTAAATTTGGTCATATGTTGTTGCATGACATATCTGCCTGGGTGTGTAGTTGAAGGGACGGACTGTCTTCAACGCTATTTGGATAGTAGGACACAGTTACAGACCACTTATGACTTTTGATCTCTTTTACATTTGTTAATAACTTTCGCTCTCTTACATGTGGTGACGTGTAGGTGTATGTTATCAAAAATAACACATAAAACATTTATTAACAAACCTCATATAACCACACATTAAATTTCACAGGTATCATTATTCCAAATTTTACTATTAAAGATGGATTTCTAATAATTTCTGAGTTTTCCAGTATCTACTAGCTAATAATAACACTGCCTTTGAAGACAATTTTAATTTACAGATGTTCAGTGGAATGTACCTGATTTTCTTCAATTATCTGTGATTTGTTTTCTTGTAGAATCATTACAATTTTATTGGGTTATAATTTTTCTCTCGCTCACTTATTTTCATCTTGTATGATGCAAAAGTCCTATATTTTCTTTTAGGGGAAGGGTTTTAGTATAAACATATACTCATGTTGTAATGCTTGAACAAGGTTATTTTATGTATCTATTAAAAGTTACCTAGTTATCTAATGACGGCGTAATTGTGTGCAGTTATTAGTTTCTTTTATACATATATTTTTTTAATCTCAATTAAAGATAAAATATTTGGGAATTGTGACACCTGCTTATACTTGAAACTCTAATCCAATCAGACCAATCCTTCAGTGATGTCATATCCTGTGTAGCTGTTTTTCCTGGTGTGCTGAACTGGCTCGAAGTTCTGACTGAGTGGTTTATTGAGTTGACAGTGTTGCTGATGTTATTGTTTCGTACGAAATTAGGGCTGACTTATGTAGGAAATGGTTTTAGAATATTAGGTAACTCTATTGAAATTAAATGTAATGAACTTATATTTAAAAGGTAAGCTTGTTATATAACTACCTTTATTTAACATCCATAATTACGTGGTTTGTACGTGTGCGGGATACGGCTTATCGTGGAGCTAACTAATAGTACTAGTAGTAGTACTAGGGCTGATTGATGAACGTACCATTTAGTTTTACTTTTTTTTTTAGTTGATAAACTTATCCTCAGGCTAACTTCACATTATATTCACTTTTAACAAGCTTTCAAATTCAAGTTCATTTATATGTTTTTCTTTAGACAAGGTGCGGTTTTAAGTCTTATCACATTTGAAATTACATCTAGACTTGGTAAACATCAAGTGTCTTAATTTTACTCGAGTCTAAGTTTGTGTCACTGTCATGCATTATAAGTTTTACTAATAGTTACACTATTAGTTGTGACCAGTCTGTGATTATTGTTGTAAACTAATCAAATTCGTGTGGTTGAGTGATTTACACTACAGCTACTGTAGTACAAATACAGCTAGTATTAGTAGTAGTGATTCCAGAATTATCCCGTAACTTTTTGCTAACTTATTTGAATAATGCATGTAATTTTTCAAATCTTTCATTGTGTCAGAAATAACTTTTTTTTTTTTTTGTAATCTTGCAAAGTTTATCTAAGCACAAAGACTGGTATTGATTTATTTGCTATTTAATAAGTTAAACACTGAGAATTATCTATTTCAAAAAAAATATCTTTAAATGTATATACTTATCTCATGAATCACTGGACTGAAAGGTGATAAGTGATCAAATATCTCCCATTCGTTTTTTTTTTCAAGACTTTGACTTTTAACAGACACGTTTATTTTCCAGTGATACATTTAAGTAAATTTCAATAATACATTACTATCATTGGGTGTAGCTGCTCATGATGTCATCTTTTCAGTAGTAAAGGAGTGCCATGTCATATGGTCAGTTGAACTTTTTACCATGTATTATATGGATACATTAATTTTTTATAACAGCATTTATTGTATTTTATTTTTCTGAGAATCGGTATAAAAGGTTAGGGTAATAAGAAATTTGTTCAGATTTTTTTTGCTAACCCACGTGTTTCTGTGTCTGACATCCTTAAAGCTAAGCGACTGAGGAGATAACCTCCTATTATTATCTTTACAATGCTACAAACTTAAAAAGCAGTTTAGTAACACGGATAGATAGCAATTGTTTGTTTAGTGACTGATGCTAAAGTAAGGTAAATCTACATCTAAGCATAAAATATACAGTGTAAAGTTGTATGTATAGGTGATTATGTTGAGTGCTAAATATAATACTGTTATCAAACTAGAAAAAAAAGGAAAAATTTTCAAAATATGAAAAACTTTTTACCAGTTGATGTTTAAACTAGCAATAGCTGTATATGAAATCTTAAACCTATCCATTATTAACAGTAACAGTTGCATGAATTAACAAATAACATGCATTTTCTCTACAGTTTCTCATCTTTATTAGTATATTTTTATCCTCACAGTTGTGAAGTTTAGAATGAGAGATGTAATGTGCAACCACATCAGGAACATGTAGTTTCTAACATTCTAGACATATGCTGTGTTACAGCTGTCATCTCTGTTGGGCAATCCTGTCATAGTAGCATAATGTATTGAATGTTTCTACACTGTACTGTCAGGAAGTATGTTAATAGAACAAAAAGTGCTTGGTGTATCTGTACCATGAATAATATATATGTATGTATGTATGTTGGATTTATATATGTTCTTTATGTAAATGATTAAACAAGATAAAGTATTGAGAAGTATAAGGTGATGTACCTGGATTTAATGTTAAAAAAGTGTGTTAGAGAAACATTGGGGTTGTGGTAGAAAATAATTTAAATGTGGTAATTGATAAATAGATTGAATGTTTCAGTTGATGATCAAGCTGTGCTTAAAATAACTCTAGAGATTTTATAGAGTAACAAAGTTATACTGTGGCCTCATATGAAACATTGTATGCAGATTTGTTTCTCCTGTTATGGGACTATTATCAACAAACTAGAAAAAGTGCGGAAACTGACTGTTAGAACTCTAGCTACGAAAGTTGGTTTGAAAAAAATATTTCTTTTCTATTAAGTTTAAAATAACCAGAAATGGCATAGTTTAGGGCTTGTATATTTGGCCTATATGGGTGATTTGAGTGGAAAAGGCAGAAATGCAACTTGAGTATTAGGGGCACAAAGTTAAATTGTAGAAGTTGACAACAAAAATTGTCATTAGTTAGATTATTTCTGTGTTATAGCTTTAAATATTTTCAATAGTTTACTCAAATCACATGATTTAGTTTATTAATTTTTGTTGGGTAGTTTTATGTCTCTTAAAACTACAGTTAGTTTGGTTTTGATGCTTTGCTTGGTTGTTTTAGTGAGTCGAATGGTGATCATGTTAGGCCAAATGGTCTTCTGTGGTCATTCTTGTGTTCGTAACATATTGATGTGATGGAATACACTGACCATGTATAAAGTTGTTTTATGTTTTATTTATATGGTTCAATTTGATACTTAATATGTAGTAAGGTTTCAGTATGTATGCAGTGACATATGAAAAATTCACCCAAATATTTTATTCACTTACCTATGGTACAATTGGAAAATGTGTTATAATGAGCTACATACAGGTGGGGTTTTCAGCCTGCTTCCACCCCTCGATAATTTTACTTTTAATTGTGCAATAACACTATTGGACTACAAATAAAACTTGTTTATTTATTCAAGCCTGAGGAAAAACTTACAGGATATGTAATAACTAACCTGCTGGTGGAAAAGTTTACAATCGTGGAAATTTCAGTCTTATTCCAGTGCTTGAGACATTATTGCATATTACTTGCTTCAAGCTCAGTATTTTTTTGTGATTTCTTGTCTGATTTAAATAGTTGCCAGTCCAATGATATTGATAAGGGCATAGTTATTAAACTAAAATTTCATGATGACATTAAACTCTATTTCAAACTGTATTGAGAGGTATTACAGAATGACTTTGATCAATTAGTAGGTTGGACAAATATTTGACAAATGACCTTCAATTATACGACCTGGGAGATAACACACTTGGGTAATCATAATTTGATAACATGGTTTAATGTAGATGGGAACCCACTCAGTAGTATGATTGCAGAAATGGATCTTTGCACAGCCTCTCTCAGTAGTTTGTTTGATAAGTGGTGGATAAGTCACTCCAGCCATAGTTTCAGTGCTCTGTTGATAGTTTTAAGGCTAAGAATAAACAATTGGCAGTGGAGAAAGTAGTTCCAAGAGTAGCAAAGGCTTGAAATATTCTTGTAATGTACTCTTAATCGTCAGTGATACAGCAGGGGTGTGTGGAATATCATTCTTGTAATGTGCTCTTATCCTTCAATGATACAGTAAGGGTGTGGAACATCATTCTTATAATGTGCTCTTAACCTTCAGTAATACAGTAAGGGTGTGGAACATCATTCTTATAATGTGCTCTTAACCTTCAGTAATACAGTAAGGGTGTGTAACATCATTCTTATAATGTGGGTTTAACCTGCAGTGATACAGCAGGGTATGTGTAACCTCATTCTTATAATGTGCACTAAACTTCAGTAATACATCTACGATAATCAATTTTTCTGTTCGATGCCATAAACTCTAATGTATAGTTTTTGCTGAATGGCATTGTTAAAATATGGGTGTTCATATTTGTTTGTATTATATTCACAGTTTAAATACCTTCATATTTAATTGACTGAAAATGAGCATTTGCATCAGTTTAAGAAATATCTGCCAACATTTAACCTCACTAAGTAGAATAAGCCATTGATTCTACAATCAAGTTTGTAGGTTGAATTCTAAAAAAACTAACTTGTAATTATTAAAATGTTGACAGATTGGCTTTGACACTCCTACATAGAAGATATGTTAACATAACATATTTTGGGACAACATGGGCCCTATTGGTCCAGCTCGGCTGTTCTATTCTCAATACTAAATTAAAATGATTAAAAAAATTTAAACCCAGCCCTTTTCATTCATGTACTTATCAAGCTTTTCTTAAACTCACTTAAATTTACTGCTTCTGCAACATCTGAAGGCAACCTGTTCCAAAGGCCAATCACCCTGTTAT